GACCAAACCAAAAATACTATCTTTGACCATTGGTTTTGGTATGGTATGCATAAAAAAACCAAAGTGTAAAATGTAGATTGTAAAAGTCTTGTAAGTCTTGTAAGAGTCTCCATTCAAATCTTGTACTGAAGTAATAAAACTATATACGAGAATGTTCTCATCATGGGTTACTACTTATTATTATCTCATATTCATTTCCCCTGGTGAATTTTAACCTGGTCAATGATCTTCCATTCTGTTCTCTCGCCACACACTATCTCCACCTCCTAATATACTCCCATTCTTCTCAAATCTTCATCCACATCATCCATCCATCTTTCTCTCGGTCTACCCCTTGCGCTTTGATCCAGTGGTCTCCAATCTGCAACTCTCCTTGCTGTCCTCTTATATCAAACTATCTCAGATTATATATCATATAACACCTAATTATTTTTATAATCATTAAACTCCATTATTTCGTATCATTTCACACAATCCTTCATGATAATTCATTTTATCACCCACTATAACCTTGACACTCTCATACACTATATTTTATCAAACATTACACTGTTTGATGTATACGTCAATATCACACAATATTTCTTTATTTGTTAACATACATATTAACTTAGAATCTATCTTACATCATGTATTATTTCAAAATTATTATCACATATCATTATCATTATCTTATTTGCACAGCTCTTGTTTTGCTTCATGTTCTCATATATCGACTTTACATTATATATTATCATATCACACTGTATTATTAAGAGACATATGATATTAAATATATTATATTGTTAGTACAGCTTACATGATAACCCATATCATAACGATTTTGTTCACGTCAGTTTTTTTAACTCGTTGTATGTTTTATACAGGTTTTTTCAAGAAGTGATTTTTAGCAAAACTTAAGGGGGTCTTTCATATAACTTTTTGTTCAAACCCCTTTCTCCAATTAGTTACACCCCTCTACAGTTAGGGAAAAAATTGTTTTTATTTAATAAATCCACTATGGAGGAATTTAGAAGAATGAAATTTGGTAGGTAACTGTAGCTAATAAAATGACACTTTTTGACGATTTTTACAACCCGAAAATGTTATTACAAGCGGCTGAAAAAAATCAACCCCTATAATACTTTGCATCAAAATTTTTAATGCGTCTACATTTTTCTATTTAAAAACTGATGATTTAAACAGAGGGGTTCAATACGCAACTTTTTTCTCTCTTGACATTTTCTTCTAAAATTGTTAGTTTTATCACAAAAAAATAAAATAATACACAGGCTCAAGTAAATTAATTCAGAGATGGGTAATTATTAGTCAAAAATATGAAGTTATGTCAAATTGATCTCAGCATAATTTTATTTTTTATGATCAAACTAACAATTTGTTAGTTGAAAATGTCAAGAGATAAGAAAGTTGTAGATTTTTCCCTTAACTTTAGAGGGCTACAACTTGGAGGAGAAGGGGTTTTGAACAAAAAGTTATATGAAACACTCCTTAATTTTCGGTGAAAAATCTTTCGCATCAATTTAGAAACAGCCTGTATGTGTTTCAAAACATCCAAATTTATTACCTTGTATAATATCACATATCCCATCTTAACCCAATGTATGATTAGCACAATTCCTATACTATGTACTTTATCATATCACTAGTTATATTAATATTTACACGATAAGGCGTATTATATTTAATTATCTCATAACATATCACATTCATATAAGTTCATGTCATATCTTGTTTTCTTCTTTCTCTTGATGTCATAACCTATGTCATATCATAATATAAGCATAAACTCATATCATATCCTTTTTAATTTCCAAAATCACATCACATCTCATCATAACTAATTTCAATCTTCATTATCTCATTAACATAACTAATCTCATACCTTATAATATATCATACAATTGTAAGTAATTAAGTTCATAGTATAAAATACCAATAAATCTTTTTTACCATACTTGCTAAGATTGTTAGAAGTTTTTTATCAACTATATCATATTCTACAATTTTCTACGAAAGTTGCAAAAAGTAATAATAGTCAAATTATTCGTTTTTAGTCGTTCGTAAACGAATTCCTACCAAATACAGTAATTCCAAAAATACCTGTAATACTACAACCTGTAATTTGCAAGATTTTTAGGTTAAACATCCCATTTACACTGAAAGTGGACAGGGAAAAGGTAGACATTATTTCTACAACTTTTCACAATGTTGGAAACTAAACTTTAGTCAAGAAAAGTCATTAGAAGGCAGCTTAATTTTCTGAAAAAGGATATTCATTCATACATGATTGTAGTTTTCATATAAAAATTGCTAAAGAAACGTATCAGTATAACAAAAATAAGTGTACTAAATGTTTTTGCTTAAGAACGTGTGTATAACTAAGTTCGTTTCTGAGATTATTAATTATTATTTGCTAAAAATCACTCTGGGAAGAGTATGTATATCCCAGGAACAGTCGGGGAAGCACATGGTAGATTTTGTGTCAACGAACCTGTTTTACGTTCTTCAGTAAAATATCCGGTTTGCAGTCGTTCGCTTGGTTATTTTGTCTATTACCGTTACACTGCTTATTGCTTCTCTAATTGTTATTATGACAAGTGTTTTTGTGTTAATTGGTGTTGTCTTTTTTGTTCTTTTTGATTCTTTTTTCATTGATGATACCCGCAATAATACTATGCAGGGCCGAACACTGCTATTGTATGACATTTTCCACAATTACAGTGATGTCTAGTATAACGAAATAAACATTTATGGTCGTGGTCGTTCTTCCATGAACTAGATCCAACTAGAAGATTAACAAATTGCATTTCTTTCTTCTAATGAAACTTTTACTAATAATTTATTAGTTACCTATTTTCTTAGAAAATAAAAGGTTGAGTGAAGCAGGAAATAGTACGTAAATTTATTCGGTAAAATATCGTAAATAATCAAGATCTTAGCATATTTTTAAATTCCTCTACTTTGCAATTTTTGTAATATGACTTGGTCAGCTTTATAGAAATAATGTTAAGCGAATTTCACTATGATGTCAAATTAAATGAATTTTATCTAAAAACTTCTTATGAAGTAGACTAAAATTTTTGAGCGGATTTAATCTTTGGGTTTTTTTACTAACAAGAAAACATTTCTCGTCTTTTTTAGAAAGAAAAGAACGTGCGTGCCATGTGCATTTTGTAAACAGTATGTAGACGGAGTATTAAACCGAAGAGGAAGATCTAATGTGAAGAGTGGGAACGCTATAAAATGCAAGGAGCTATGGTGGAACTAAAGAATTAAAAGTCTAGAAGAAGGATGTGGTTTATAACTTTGAGTGGTTGACCTTGGCCATGAAATATCTATGCGATATATTTCTTTTCAATTTTAAATCATTTCAAAGAAATGTTTATCAAGAATGTTTTTAAAATTCGATGGAAAGTTTTTGAGGTAAAATGGATTTTTTGTTCAACCCCCTTTTGCTGCTGATTACACCCGATGCCAAACTTGGAAGTTACCACAATTGCTGCTTGAATAATAGATTGCGCGCCCGAGCACTTGACGGACAGCGAATTATTAGTTATTGGCGAAACGTTTGCGTTATAGGCCAGCGTTCGTTTTGCGCCTGCTTAAACCCGTCAATCCTTGAAAACCCGCCTTCGCTCTTCGGTTCCAACCCCATTGTGCACAATATCCAACCGCCACCACTATTCTACCACCTCCGTCACACGACGTATAACACCCGTTCGGTTCATTATTTATTTATGTAGTGGCGCCATTCGCTTCAAATACAACATTTTCATATTTATTATTTATTCCTTAATTCAATTTTGATTTTATTTAAAAATTAATAAGAACGTAAATAGTGAAAGTTTTAAGAAAGATATTTTTGAAAATGAAGAGATAAAAAGGGAACCGAAAATCTTGAACGATATCAGCTAGACTTTTGCTGTGCCGTCTCGATAACAACTCCTCTTGTTTATTTTGTGCACGAACGTTGCCCGATAAAACTTTTAACAAAATTTGTTCCCGAAAATAGATAAATAAGTTTTTTTCGGGGACACTCAAGATTTATTTTATCGCCATTTTTCTTCCAATTTTTAAACCCATCTTTACTGATTCACATCTTTATTGATAATAATAAAACCGACTCTTCTCCTCATAGTACATTGAACCTATTCTACGTCTCTCTACGAACTCGCGACTTGTGTCCCTGCCGTACGCAGTAAACAATGATTCATCAAGCAATGTGGCGGAATTTCAAATCAGCGATGTGTTTATATCTTTCTTCGCCTTTCATTCCAGACGTTTCTATTATTCTATTTCCGAGTTTTGAAAAGTTATCGCATCTCTATGCCCCAATTTGACGTAAAAGTAACAAAATTCCGATCGATTTGTTTTATTCAATTAAAAACTGAAAATAGATCTTTTAAATTAATTAGTTAGACGGGAAATTTCGTAACGTTCTTGAGGGACAACCTTAATTATAAGCGGGTCATACTAAATATTTAATGAACCCCCAGATTATAGACTACGAAAACGAGGAATGATAACACGCAATGTGTGCGTCATTTTCGCTTGCGTACGCACGTTTTTGATGATGATCGATATACGATAATATGGTAGGTGGATGAAGGTTTAAATGGAATAGCAATTTTTGGGGGTGAAAAATTGATTAAATTTGAAACGGTCGATTTTGAGTACTTTCAAAATGCTTCTAATCTAGCGAAAATATTGATGTGTTGAAAAATATTTACACAAGATTCGAATTTTGTTAGTTTGCGACATTATATTATAACATTGCACAAACGAAGATAGCAAAACTATCGATGGATTTTTACTGGTAGATAAGATTTTGGACTTTTTAGGGTGTGCCTACTTAAAATTATTATTATTAATAGCTGTTTATACCCAATTTTGGTATTCAATATTTAAATTAGCAACAAAAAGTTGTAATAAATAATTCAACTTAAACCAGTAAAAGAAAAAGTCAAAAAATTCTTCAAAGATACATAAAAATCACTTACCTTCTTGTTAAAGTTGTTTTACATCTTATTCAGAAAAATTTTAATAATCCAATAAATTATACAAGTTACAATTGATCTAATTGAAGAAATAGTCAATAAATTTCCTTATTTTGGATGTTCTTTTCTTTTGAACTCCTTTCGTCCTTGAAATATTTAGACGATTAAAGATGTTGTTGAAAGAAGGTGATTCAGATTTTGCACGGAGCACGCAAAGTACCGCTACGTACAGCGACCTACGCAAAGGACATTGACAGTGGTGTGGGTAGAGGAGCTTGGCCGATCCTGACCAGGCTCAACATTGCAAAACTGAGGATAGGCAAATAAAACGAATGAACGAACACGAACCCGTCGGGGGCCGACGTGTGCAAAAAGCCGATCTCTGGCGAAGCCGAGCCTTTGCCGGTTGTTCGCCTTGGCATTCTGGCTGCGGGGCCCAGTTTAATTCGCGTGCCGCTCCCGGTCCGTTCGCAGTTTGTGTCGCGAATTCGTCGTGGACGCTTCCAAGCGCCAAAAAACCAAAAACCATCTTCGGACACGACTTCACGTTTCTTCAAGTACTTTTCATCTCCTTCAACTCGACTGAAATTTGACCTGAAACAGTTTAATAAACTATAATGTTGAAAGTGTTCTGGTGATAATCTAATTTTTAGTTTGAAAATAAAAATGTTTTTGGAAATGTTTTAGTGATAATAAAAGTTTAGTTTTGATTGGATTATTCTTTTCTTTTGAAAACCGATTTTGATCAACATTTTCAGCACAAGAAAATTTTACTTAAATACCAAAACAAACATTTCTGCTTAATGTTTGAATTTAAGCAAAAATATTATTTTCAAAAAAATTCAATTAAAACACATTAAAATTCTTGAAAGAAAAGTTTTCAGCTTCTTTTGAGTAGTAGCAACCCAATCATTCCATTCAAATGAAAAATTGATTCAATAGACGGAAAAGTTCTGCTTTCAATTCTCTCAATACTTAATTGAAGTAGTTTGTAACATATTTTGAAAATAAGAAACTAAGTTACTGAAAATATTTTTTCAGTTTAACGTTAATCTTGTGCAATCAGAAATAAGAGTAAGTATTTAAAAAAAATGAAGGTGTTCTGATCATATATAATTTTGAAGGGATATTATTTTGCCAAGTATAAAATTTGGAATGGTTTAAAAATGTTTTTGGAAATGCGTTTTGATCAACTCCTTGAACTGGTACCACCTACTATAAAACTTGTTCTGTAATTATCAAATCGATCATTCTAATTGAAAAAGGAACTCAAAATAATATATATTCTTTATGAAAACCAAAATTCTAAATCAAACTGTTTTATAAGGTAAGCAACATAACTTTTTAAAAACTCTCACAAATTTTGTTAATAGAACTTAAAAATCTTGATCTCAGGATGACTAAGTTCGCATTTCTAAGCTAAAAACCTTAAAGGATGGAATTTGATGTAGACACTGACACCAATCTTGTACAGCTGTTTATCCTAAACCAAACATTGGCAAAACATGTTGCGTTGAATCGTTATATTTTCGTGTCTAGGATCTGCAGTTCTGGTATTTGCCATTCTTTCTATCAAAAACTATTAATTTCTTTCTGAAAAACACATGGCATCCGAAACGTCACTATTATACCGAAATTTCTATTTTTGCTTTTATTTTTAAGACTTATTTTATTCAACAACTTACCGGCAATAACATTAATAAAAATAATAAATAACTAATTTTTCGGGGTACAATAAATTTTAACGAGGAGATTTGAAAACTTGTTACATCCAATTGTCAAAAATACATTTTTTGTAGGCCAGTTTCCCTGAAACTTCAATTGATCTATATAATTATTATTATTATGGAATTAGGTATTACATATCATTTTAAAGCAGAGGCTTTAATACGGATATTGATATAATAATTCTTCCTTACGTCTTAAAAATACAGCCAGTGCATAAGATAGAGAAAAAGTAAGAGAGAAGAGAACAGCTTTTATTTGGGACTGCATTCATGTTGCAAGTTGATGAATATATAGAAATAAGAAAATTTAAACAATAAAGTAAATGTCCTTTTAAAAAAAATACATTTAATGTTTTATGAGCAAACTCTTATTTCTATAATTCTTGTTTTGACGTAAAAGTAAATATAAAACAAGAAAATTTTGCGTGTAAGCAAGGATGATTCTAAGACATCCGGAAGTATGTACAACAATTGAGTCATTTTTAATAATCTTTGTTTTTTTTGCTGACTTTCTGTTGTTCCTCCAAGTTTCCAATGCTATAGAAAGGTTAGAAAGGTCTTTCTTTCGCCAGCAAGATTTTTGAATACTTTATGTTTGCTTCGATATTTGGGTAATGTGAGTTGATGATATCTTCTGAGCAACATGGTTTTTTAAGAACGAGTGGCCACTCAGCTGTAATTAATTTGATAGTGTCACAGAAACATTATTCTGGAAACATTGATTAAGAAAGCCAATGACACTCCTTGCCAAGTTGATTACAAATTACATATTCGACAATGATTTTTTGTTTCGATGGAATTATTTTTCTCAATTTATTCAGAAATCGTTTGCTATCGTTATAGTATGCTTCTCACGTTTTGGCAAATTGCTCTAACCAAAGTTCCAACCTCTAGTTTTTTAATACAAATTTAGCATTGCAATAACCAGATATCATATACATATAAATGTGTAATATCAACCAAACACGAAGTATCACAGTCCTCCATTACTGAACATCCACAACAACGAGAAAAATAAAAAAAATTTATAAATAATCGGTAAACATCAGTAACAACAAATGAAAAAACGGAACATGGTGGAAATTTATTCATAAAAATAGACGATTTCTTCCTGATGATGAGGGCTCAGATTCCTCGAAACATGTAGAAAAAACAAAAAATAAATAACATCGATAAGTACAAAGAAAATAATTTGACCTCATATCCATTACTCACGATGTTAAGAAGACAGAACAACAATTACAATATAAATGTGTGTTATGTGATGTTGTATTTGAGTTACTTTTATTTTTTTTATATGTTTTGATTTACTTTTTCAATTTGAAGTTGTTCTTATGAAATCAAAATTAAGAGTAATATATGTTATTAACAGAAAAATGTTTTAACAAAAGTTGCATAATAACAGATTTTTTTATTTTTAATCATATTCACTAAAACAGTTTTATATATTTTTTCCATGGAATCCACTTTACACTAATTGTTCAAAGTTATCTCCGTGTTGTTGAATGCAGAGTTGCTCGACGTATCCATGAATTAGCATAATTTACTAAACCTTGGTTTTCTCTTCGTATTGTCTCCACAGCTGCTTCTTCCAATAGTTCTGTCAAGTTATTTTGCAAAAGAAAAAAATAATCATTTGCAGTCAATCGATTTGGCAACACAAAGGTGCCAATGAGTTGTCCATTGAGTCCGGGCCAAACTTTTATTGAAAATCTGTGCTGAAAATGATTACGACGAACAGCATCTGGTTTTTCGATAGCCCGGATATGAGTATTATGACAATACAAGTGAAGAAAAGTTTGGAATTTCAGCGTGTTTTTGTGGAAACTATTGACAAAATTGTAAATGTGACAGGATGTAAAGACTGTACTTTGTTCGCTAGACAATATGATTTGAAACATTTAATTGGTGAGATATTTGTCGAGTACATCTAGAATCTTCTTCGGCAAGATTTAAAATTCGTGTCCACCATCCCGACCTTGCCGTGTTTGTAGTATACTAGTTTCTCGCACACGGATTACCAGAGCGGTAAATTTTTGTGGGTAAGTATTAGCCTGTTAAGAAACCTCTCAGCGTACAAACGGCTTGCAGCAGCAGAATTCTAGCGTACTTCCCCCTAAATCAACAACATGCATTGTGTCATTCACTCTTGGTGCGATGAAACATTTTTGCTTTCCTTATTAGGAATTATTCGGAAAATTTATGTCAAACCAACAGTGCAGTAACAACAGAAAAGACGTTTTTGTTTTCGTTAGTTAAGCTATGGGCACTGGAAATAAATTGTTTAAATCAAAAAACTTCTAACAGTAATATTTCTCTTATTATGCAACTTTTATTAAGACAATTTTACGTTAATAACCTTCTTTTAAGATGTTTAAACACCCCTTGAAAATAAAATCACAAAACCATAAACACCCTGTATAAAAAATCAGCAAGGTTATTGAACATATTATGTATGCTGGGTAAGCTGGGTCATTAATTTCTTCTATGCAATCTAATTTTATAAGAGGCAACTAATCTGATGATATCAATGAAACATTTTTTGCTATATAGATTGGGACTACCAAAAGGTTTGTTTTTTTCTGCTATAATAAAGTGTTCTATAATGATTTTTCTTTGACGGAATATGTAGTAACCTGAATATACTTTGCTTTACTTTGTTCTTAAATGATTTGCTCAAATGATATCTGTTTCTGCAGCTTGCTTCCCAAGTTGTCGCATAAAATTAGTACTTATTCTAGTCAACGTGTTTGCTCAGAAATACGCTAATNGATTACGACGAACAGCATCTGGTTTTTCGATAGCCCGGATATGAGTATTATGACAATACAAGTGAAGAAAAGTTTGGAATTTCAGCGTGTTTTTGTGGAAACTATTGACAAAATTGTAAATGTGACAGGATGTAAAGACTGTACTTTGTTCGCTAGACAATATGATTTGAAACATTTAATTGGTGAGATATTTGTCGAGTACATCTAGAATCTTCTTCGGCAAGATTTAAAATTCGTGTCCACCATCCCGACCTTGCCGTGTTTGTAGTATACTAGTTTCTCGCACACGGATTACCAGAGCGGTAAATTTTTGTGGGTAAGTATTAGCCTGTTAAGAAACCTCTCAGCGTACAAACGGCTTGCAGCAGCAGAATTCTAGCGTACTTCCCCCTAAATCAACAACATGCATTGTGTCATTCACTCTTGGTGCGATGAAACATTTTTGCTTTCCTTATTAGGAATTATTCGGAAAATTTATGTCAAACCAACAGTGCAGTAACAACAGAAAAGACGTTTTTGTTTTCGTTAGTTAAGCTATGGGCACTGGAAATAAATTGTTTAAATCAAAAAACTTCTAACAGTAATATTTCTCTTATTATGCAACTTTTATTAAGACAATTTTACGTTAATAACCTTCTTTTAAGATGTTTAAACACCCCTTGAAAATAAAATCACAAAACCATAAACACCCTGTATAAAAAATCAGCAAGGTTATTGAACATATTATGTATGCTGGGTAAGCTGGGTCATTAATTTCTTCTATGCAATCTAATTTTATAAGAGGCAACTAATCTGATGATATCAATGAAACATTTTTTGCTATATAGATTGGGACTACCAAAAGGTTTGTTTTTTTCTGCTATAATAAAGTGTTCTATAATGATTTTTCTTTGACGGAATATGTAGTAACCTGAATATACTTTGCTTTACTTTGTTCTTAAATGATTTGCTCAAATGATATCTGTTTCTGCAGCTTGCTTCCCAAGTTGTCGCATAAAATTAGTACTTATTCTAGTCAACGTGTTTGCTCAGAAATACGCTAATTGGTCTTCAGTTTTTCAAAGTAAGTTTGGTATTGCAATGAAATCACAGAGTAAAAGAATTATTTTGATCAGGCTCGACCTTTCAAGGAATTATCAGGATTAACCTGAGCCGGGTTACAAACCGCAAGAAAATCACAGGAATTACACTGACAAAATTCTAGAGTGTAAGAACAAAACTATCATTACACTGGGA